TTACACTTTTATGGGATTTGCGATACGTGCTAATTAATTATTGTTTGTTCGACGTACCCCAATTATACGACTTCGCGAGGTTTCATATTTGCATATTTAGTATTTGCGTAAAACGAATGCAAGTGTGCGCACGCGTGCGATTTAATATAAGTATTATTATTACATTGCATTATTATGTTGTGTTTATGTTTAATTTAAAACGTCGTATTTTATGCGTAGTTTCGTGCACAAAACAAGACAAAGGTATACCGTCGTGTGCTGTAATACTATTCATTTGTACGTGTTATTCGAATAACTGTACGAAAACCTGATTTTATAAATATACGATTTCGATTTTGTTAGCCATCAGTTGCCGTTAACATTTTTACGTTTACATTGACGTTAATCCACGAACGCTTTTCGATTACCAAATTCTATTGTAGACATGTTTTTTCAAAAATAATTAAAATAATAATGCACCGTTATTGGTAAGGGAACGTCGATGATGGTTGTATATTTTACAAATATCTGCAAATATGCGTTCGAAATAATTTGCAACAGAAATACATTTCGAATTTTCATGTTCTGCGTAATTCTTAGTAGATTGAATTTAAATCATACAATCCAAGATTTCCAAATATTTGAGAAATTTCATTTACTTTTAGTTTATTATACGATAAGTTTTCGTGGGTATATCATCACAAGAGTCTACCAGTTATAATACAATTTTCCTTGAGCATGTCTACTCTGGTGTTTATTATTAAACCAATAAATCATTTACAAATACATACACATCTATCAATTGTCCATATTAAATACGTTTGCAGTTACACTTTGTAATAATATGATTTTATGCGAAAATAATTATGTACATACATGATAAATGTATGCACTCGAGTATAGTACACGTTACGGTAAAATAATCGACTCTAATCAAATTTAAAAAAATGCAGTTATATGTAAAAGTACAAGAGCTTGAGCAAAGTAAGCTCAAAATTATCATTAATGAGTTTTTATCTATTTTTCGTGGATACGGTGTCCGTCAAGTATGTGAAATCAATTATAGTATACATTTTATAGTGATACATTTATTCGTGCGACATTTTACAGTTGGAGAAATAAATATTTTGTTATAAGTCTTCTAGTCTGAATAATAATAAATATCTTCTCTAAGGAATAAAAATACGAAAATCTATCACGTAATCCATGTTGTTCTTAAAAAAGACGCATCAATAGACGTTTCCATCGAATAAAATTTGAAAAGAAAATAATCCTTTACTATATATGATATCAGTGTCACTATAGTATGAGAGAACATGTAGTTGAACGAAGTTTTTGTGGTATCGGAATAAATAAAATACGAAAATAATCAAAACTCAGTGTGGTTAATATACGAAAGTCAATGTAACGCATTACAAGTTAATGAAATTATTAATTTAATGACTCAGTGGGTAACAAATTAGGAGTAGCACCGAGGAGCGACTTTGGCATGTATACATAACATATATAGTTCTGGAATCCAATACAAAGCTAATGCGACTCGGATTCAAGAGTATGAATTAATTTGGTCTGACCGTTTTAGGGTAAACTTGATGTAATACGCCGTACAATATGATGCAGCTAATTATTTATAAGAACAATCGTTGGTTTGTTTCAATTGAAAAATAATTTTCCGTTAAATTATGATGTTACGATAATACTTTTACACCGTTATGCTCATCATTTCTTTAGTGACTAGCATTTGCAGTGCTCGGGTACTTAATTATGTACTCGATGAGACGTAAAAGTCCCACCGGAAACGAAACAAAACTACCGGAACGCCGAATCACGTTGGAGCGTCCTATCTTTTGGGAAATTCGTATTTCCACCGTCGACGTTTAAGGTCACCGTTTTACCGAGCGGCAACAGCTATTATCGGCAACATCATTAGGTTTAATGTAGAACAAGGCGAAAGCACCGTAATCTGTTTCGCGTCCGAGGATATAAAAAGCGAAAAAGAACGACAACGTGATTGGTCGCGTCATGCGTGCACTTTCCGGAACGAACGCGTTTCGGCGCGGTGAAAGCATTGAACGTTGGGCGTTGGGTCCCGTTGAAAACAAAAAAAAAAAAAAGCTGTGAAAACGGACCGGGTAAACTTCCTACCGAATTCTTGAAGATTTAAGTTCACGCCGACGGCTGCCGGTTAATGTAGTATCATTTCGGCCGTACAGGACGGAACATCATTTATTTTTTTTGCCAAAGGCTCGACGGAGGGGTTGGATACTGCGCGCTGCGGTAAGCTCATGCCGTTTACACGTATTTGCGCACTGTGTACACACCGCGCGGATAGAGCCGGCGACGGCGAGCGCAACGGAGGACGTTTTATTAAACATCGTCGTGTCAACACCGTTGATGATGTGCGCGCGCGTAAACGATATCCGTATCGTACGGTAGTTGTTTCGTTTTCGGAAAGCAAACAGTCTGCACGAGCTTTAAATATAATATGTTACCCGCCGCATACACCCGGCTCGGTGTGTACATTGCGCACGGTACCCGACACACACTACACTGTTACGTGGGTGTTTCGATATCGTGTTGTGTGCACGCGCGTAACAATCGGTTCGATCTCGTTTGATGCACGTGAGTTCGTAACACGACGATCTGTTGAACGGTTGTAATCGTTTGGGGGGAGGGGAGGGGCACCAGTCGTAAGTGAAAAAGGTTGAATGGGGGTTAGTTTTTTACGCTTCTCCCCCTTATTCTTTTTGTCCGTGAGCAACAAGATTAGCTAACAAAATAAAAATATCCGAATCAATAGAATGCGATTCAAATTGTTATTCAAATTTACTGTTGTAGCGTCTCGCTCGCAACAGATTTTTAAACCATATTTCCGCGCATTACTGTTGAAAATCGACGTGCTGAATGTAATAACGATAACCGTTCCTAATAAAAGCGATGACAAGGAAATGTGTTCGGTATTTTCGGATTCTTGCACGAAAAAAGGGTTTTAGCAATATTCGTTAATACTGTTCATAGATCTTAAGTTTAGTATAGTGTAATCGAATGCATGCGCTATGCTACGTCACTGGGGAGGAGTACGCGTTCACGGAACGATACGAAAACTCAGCGTTTCCTACGCGCACGGAGGATCCAGCAGACGAGGATAAACGGTGCGTCATGATCGCAATAATAATGTGTAACGTTGTCACGTAAACGCGATGAAACGACCGCCACTGGGCGACGACTGGGATTTAGCGGTACGCCCGATTAAATCAAATTATTGGTCCGAAACAACGTCAGCTACACGTGTCCGCGGGTGACGCGGCGGATACATCCTCAAAAAAAAAAAAAAAAAAACGTTATTTTTTAACAACAATTTAAACTTTAATTTCGGTTCTTCGAATAAATGTGCTTTTGCAAGCACCTGTTCGAGGCATCCCGATAGCACGACCGTTTCGTTATATTTCGAACGACGTAAATCATAATAATTGCTCCTAAGACGTGATGATTATTTTATTTCACAGACAGCGTCCGTCCGTTTCCTGCGTATTTTATTTTATTTTCTATTCGTAATGCAAATGGATTCTGCGAGTTCAGTGGTGGTTCGCGTTGAAAAATTAAAACTGAAAAGTAACAATCACTCGTGTAACAACTGGTACGCTGCGCCGTGGAGGTATCAACTTTTAAGATATATCATATTCAATAACGCTTAGGCAGATTATCCTCCCCGGCCTCCACAGGTCCGATGCACAAACTTTATTCGTGAAAACTTGGTCATGGACGATCTTCCCTCGTCGTACTAGCGACGGAAGTCGTAGTTATCGGAATCGGTATTATTATAATTATTGCTACGAAACAGAATATAACACAAAAATCAACAGGATGACATGTTCAGTGTTCGATAATAGTGCATTATCGCGTTTCTAATCGCGCTACAATGTTAAAATTAATCGTATTGTAATCAAACTAGCACGATACGTAACGAGACGCGATTTATTTCGCGAATTTAAACGCGTATTTAATTTAATTACAAAACACGCCTGCGTAAAATATCAAATGTAGATTTCGCTTTTGGCGTAATTTTCCACGTACCATTCCCATCTAGAGTTCTAATCAACTACCCACAAGAAGTTTAAATCCAAGTCACGGTTACATTACGTAATTTATGTGATTTCACAGTTACACCAATACGTAAACTATTCACAATTATTTTGCGTACCTATGGTAATCTTGAACTTGTTAACCTATTGCCGATCTTCAGACTTTTTTTGATCGGCCGATCATTTCCAGACAAACTGATCGTCACCCTTTCATAGATTTTCGTTTGCCCGTTGTCTCACAATCGATTCGTTCACATACATTATACAGCGTGTGCGTGCTCGTGCGAAAATTGAGTAGAAATAAATTTCTTAATTTTTTTCACGCGAAAGTTGAATGCATATAAGGAAAACGGACGAACATAATAATGAAATGACGCTATAAAAATATAATATGAAACGTGCATTGTACTTTTATGGTATTATTTTTAATACGATCATGTTTAGTATTATTTATATGCAAAAGCAATGGAATAAAATAAAATATGTGGTAACCATCACGGGTACGAAGCAATAAGAAACCGATAATCACACACGCGGCAACGTGGATTCCTCCAGCACAAATAAAACGGCCTATAAAGATTTTCTTATCGTTCCGATCAAATACAAACGCGTCCCGGACGCGCTATTGTTACGCGCACCGTGTTTTCCGTTAAAGTTCGTCCTTGTCGGCAGGCGAATATCGATTGATCGCCGTCCGCTGCGGTGTACAACGACGACCGAGACGGTACGCGATCGTGCATCGGAACGATCCGTCGCGCAACGCGAGCACCGCGGACGACAGCGGCACGAGACACGTTTGCCGACGCGGGAGGCGGACATTCGGGAAAAACAATTTTTTTTTAACGTGACGTCACGGCGGCCGGAGGGATCGGGCCCGTGCCGTAAGTGTAACACGACCGATCGGACGAACGGTTCTCAATCGCAGCCCGGGGCTCTTACCTTGCCGATTGGTCTTACGAGATCATCCCGGACCGGTGCGACGTGTTCGCGACCGAAATCGAAAAGCCCACGTGCGCGTAGCGGACGCTAAATCGTACCGTTGTAATGACAATAATGTCGTTGCACTCGATCCGCTCCACGTACGGTGTGTGCACTGCGACCGCTGAAGGCGTTTTCGCACGAGACGATGCGGTATACGGTTACGACCGTACGACTCGACCGCGGCGATCACGCACCGATACACCGTCTGGAACAACACTCGATTCGCGGCTGCGGCCGTGGCGGCGGCATTGGCGTTGGCGACGGCGGCGGCGGCGGCGGCGGCGGCGG